TATAACTTTTTATTTTAAATGATTAGCGTGGAATAAATATGCCCTAGGATGAACGTGTTTATGTATGAGAGATTTTATTTATGATGATGTTTATGCATACTTTTCTTAATGCATTGGTTTTCTCTCTTAGTTTTACCACTTATTGAGTGATGCGGTATGAATGATACGACTTTGCCAAGAATCTTTTTGAAAAGGTATTTTTATGACCTTAATGTTTTACATTTTTTTATGATTTTTAGGTTTTTTCATTTTTTGTCTGTTGTATGATTACCCTATGCTAATGCATCAATACAAATGCAGCAAACGTATGCACACATAATTCATACATCCACGAGCAGAGCCACGCTTATTTAATCACGAGGTGGGATTTTCCTACAGAAACGTGCTTGGTTTAGGTGGTTCTAACTGTTCTCACCGGGCCAAAGGTCCCCAAGGTGCCCCCATTATAGGGACCTCTCAATCTCTCGATCCTCGGGTCATGCACGGAACTCCGTGGCGACACCCTTAGACCAAATGAAGAGAGTTATCACCTTGAGTTGGTGGTTTTCCGACAACGGCAGTAGCCCCGTGTGCCAACTAACCGATCGTATCTGCCACCCACTCCTTATAGATATTCACTCTTGCCCCCGGGTATAGAGGGACTGTTGTGTGCAAGGGTTTTGTGTGCAATTTATATTTCAAACAATTTGCAGAAAATAATTATACAGCAGTTATTAAAGCCATACAGTAAAAAACATACGAAGGGTAAAGGCGTAATTTCAAATCTTTACTTAGTTTGAATTTATCTGTCACTAAATGGGATCAACTCTCTAGCTTCCCCAGTGGAGTCGCCATCTGTCGCCGCCGTCCCTTTCCGACGTCCGGTGGACGTCTCGAACGTTTATGCGAGCGGTCGCGAAAAGATGGTTTAGACTCGCGTATTTGTTTTAAAATATATAGATTTTCGAAAAAGGGTTCTTATGGAGTCGCCACCAATATTTTGACCAGAAACATTGGAAAAGGAAAAAAGAAAGAAAGGCGTTGATTTTATAAGATAAACAACTTGGCCGTTATAACCAGAGTTGGGTAAGGGAGTTAGTTACGTGTGGGGAAGGTGTTAGCACCCCACAACGCCCCTTTCGGGTTCCCTATGACAGATTAATTCGTTTAAAGAAAAGACTTTGAGAAATTACGCGATTACCCTATTTTATTGCATAATATTGAAATGACTATCTACATAATTTTATATAAATAAAGCTAAATAAAGCAATAAAGGAGATATTAAAATGACTATCTACATGATTCTATTCTACATGACATAATAAATCTAAATAAAACAATAAAACAATAAATAAAACAATAAAAGAGAAAGGAAATTGAAAAGAACCTCCGTAGCAAGCTTTATATTGAGAATCTCGAACCGTGAGGATGCGTTTTGGCAACCCTCTCTCTACACTCGTCTCTCCTCACCAATACAAGATCGACTCCACTAAAAATTTAAAGAAGAATCAAATGCCGAATATAATTCCTTAATCGATTGTTACCTATTTAAGGCAATCGGAAAGATCATTCGAGAGAGGGAGAGAAGTAGACAAGTGCTCTAAAGTGTTTCGGAGCTCTCTGGAGTGTCCGGGTCCGAAAAAGTGACAAATGAGCCTCCTATTTATAGTTTTCGCAGCTGGCGCACTTCGGGACCACCGTCGGACTGGGACGGCCGTCCGGACTGGACGGCCGTCCCAAATGGCAAAATTACACAGGCCGGGACCCCCGGGGACCCGGACGGCCGTCCCACTTGAACTGGGACTTGGGACGGCCGTCCCAACTTCGGGACGCGCGTCCCAACCTGGCCGGGACAGGTTGGGACGGCCGTCTCGACTGCTTCCGGCCAGTTCGCGCGTTCGGGACTCCGAGAAGCTTTCCTTGTCTGTTTTGGACGTCAGTTGATGCCGATATGTGTCTGTTGAAGCTTTATCTTCGTGTAGGAAGTCTCCTTTGTGTGGATGATTGAACTCCGTCTTATTATGAGAGGTCTTCTTTAGTCTTTATCGTGCATATAAGCGAATTCCATGTTGTTGCGGGAGGTTTCCTCAATTTTTGGGAAACCAGATGAACTCCATCTTCTGGCGAAGTTCCTCTATTTTTTATTTTGAGAGGCCGGGCAAAATTAGGGGTCTACAATAATCGATTATGCAAGTAACATAATCGATTATGAAACTTCAAATTTGAAAAATATATCCGTTTTTGAAAGATAATAGCTTTTGAAATCGTCCTGATTTTTCTCTACGAATTAACTAATGAGCAAAGACTATTTTTTATTTTTATTCTAACATATTCAATGTTATTTTCCTATTTAAATGAAGTTTGATGAAAAATCAAAAGCATAGAATTTGAATACACAATCAATTTTGAGAAAATCATTCTAAACATGGCAACAGGGACATTTTACATTTTCTGAGAAAACTCGTTCCCTATTGCATTTGGTGCTTTTTCTGATAATCAAATTTAAAAAGAATTAGAAATGTGTTAAGGTCATAAGAAAACCAAGATAAAGAAAAGAAAAAAGAGAAACAAGAATTTATATTGGTTTGATTCCTTTGAATCTGCATCTAGTTATTCAAGTAACCTTAGCTTGAAATTCCACTAAAACTTATTCAGTAACCAGATTACAACATAACCTCCAGATCTTAAACACAACACACTTTAATCAAGATCTAAGAAAAAAAATCACAACACTTGAAAATGCTATCCACACAATTTTCAAACTAACTAGATATTGTTCACCTCACAAACATCAATATACAATAAAGATTCACAAAAATAAAAGACAAGAACGAATTCACCTGAAACTTTTGGAATAAAGAATCCTATAGCCAAACAATTTCTTCTTTGAATTTGATTTTCTCAAAACATTGTCTTCATGCCCACTAAGACTTTCTTTTTCAATGCTTTAGTCGTTTATAAAAAGATGTTTAATTAATGAAAGTTTACATCTTTTTATAGAGTTGAAATCTTTTACAACTGATTTAGATAATCGATTAACTAAACATCTAATTGATTATTTGTGTGCAGTGACAAACTGAAAATAAGTCATATAATCGATTAGGTACTAATATAATCGATTATTAGCGCATGATGTCAAAGTAGAGATGTAGTCACATAATTGATTAACTGGAAACATAATCGATTATTAGCACTATGAAAACATGAATTTATATAATCGATTACGTACTTATCTAATTGATTAATACATATTTAATTGATTCAATTTTAACATAATTGATTAGTTGTTTTAACTTTTTACATTTTTATTTTAACAAAGATTAAATCATTTGACTTTAACAAAAACTACTCGCACAACTACTTAACTATTTATTAAGACATCATCAAAAATAATTCTTCAACCATTTTTCTTTCCTGCTTAACACCAATGAAAATGAATCTAGATTGTATAAAGCATATACATTTTTCTATAAATTGATAAACTTTTTTATCCTAGGAATAATACTTGCAATGAATAAAAAGTGTCAACATATTTTAAGATTTAACCTTGTTCCATACATAACAAAGGTTAACTTAATGTACAAACATGTAGAATCTTCATGTTACTAAAATTAATTTTTGGATGCTATAAAAGTTAAATAATTGGTACATATTTAAATGTCACTAGTGCAAAAAAGGCTTTTTATGTCGGTTAAAATGAGCTTTTTACGTCGGTTAAAGAGGCGACATAGATACAGGGGTCATAGAAAGTATGACTTTTTACGTCAGTTGTGATGAACTGTCATAGAAAGTATGACTTTTTATGTCGGTTGTAATGAACCGACATAGAAAGTAATGGACTTTTTACAAAAATTGTCACTGGTAGGATTCGAACCTAGTACATTAGAGTCTAGAATTAGACCAACCACTACACTAGTACGATTTTTAATTATTTAGTCATATTATATTTTTATTATACTTTATAATATATTATTGTATTATCTGTTTAAGAGATTTGTGTCTAATAAGATTCGAACCCAAGACCTTAGAGTTGGAGACCGATACTCCAACCACTAAACTACTACAAATTTCTGATACATAACTTACAAATAAATTATATTTATATACAAAATATATAAATACAAATATATTTATATATTTTGATATATAAATATTTATATACTTATATATTTAATTTTTTTTTATTTAATATACACTTTCTATGTCGGTTAAATTTCAACTGACATAGAAAGTACTTTTATGTCGGTTAAAAATTTAACCGACATAAAAGTACTTTCTATGTCGGTTAAAATTTAACCGACATAAAAAGTTTACTTTCTATGTCGGGTAAAACTTAACCGACATAGAAAGTTCACTTTATATGTCGGGTAAATTATAACCGACATATCGGGTAAATTTTAACCGACATAGAAAGTGAACTTTTCACTTACTATGTCGGTTAAAATTTACCCGACATAGAAAGTTTATGATTTAATTACAAAATTGCCACCGCGCTACATACTATGACTGGTGGACTACGACCGTGATAAAAACTCGTCATAGAATGTTATTTTTCCACTAGTGTGTATTACCCAATATAAATTATATAATTTATATATAAAATAAAACTTGTATTTTTCGTTGTCTGTTATGACCACTACAAATTTTATATATATATATATATTTAAATGACATCAAGTATTTACTATAATATCATATAGTCTTGGATTATATTATAACGAGAGAGTAAATAAATTACAAATTTTTTAACGTCATGAACATAGAAAATTTGCTTTAATAAATTATATATATATATATATATATATATATATATATATATATATATATTTATCGACTAAACTTACATTATAAGACAATTAAAATTAACAATTAAGTTATAAATTAACGTTACAACATACTTTGTAATCAAATAAAATTTAAATTCACTTATTCATACAAGGTTATTGCAAACCCATAAATTCACTTATTCATACGAGGGTATTGCAAACCAAATTTAGTACACTTGATCATAGAAACAAGACTCAAATAGCTTTGTGAAAAATGTCCTTAATTAACTTATGGAAGTTGTTGTAAGACGACCCTCCAACATCAGTAGCTCTGATTGCTTTGTTCTTCCACTCTAAGGATTTTTGTCTTATTTCCATTCCTTTTTCTCCTTTCATCATTTCTGTTACAAGCTTTGTTATCTCTTCTCTCTTCACATCATGATTAATTTCCATTCCTATCCCCCAATTTCTGCATAAGTACCTAGCATTTGTTTGCTGCTCAGCAAAGAAAGGCCAACAAATCATAGGCACACCAGAAGATATGCTTTCAAGTGTTGAATTCCAACCACAATGGGTTAGAAAGACCCCAACAGAGGGATGAGAAAGCACTTGATCTTGAATGCACCAACTTGTTATATATCCCCTATCCTTGATCTCATCAAAGAAATCTTGTGGTAGAGCTACAGATTCACCCTTAACTACATCTGGTCTTGTTATCCATAAGAAAGGTAGTTTGCTATTTGCCAGTCCCCAAGCAAATTCTTTTAAGTGATGACTTGTCATTACTGTTATACTTCCATAATTAACATATACGACTGAGTTAGGTTCCCATTTATCTAACCATGTTAAACAGTTTGAGTCATTTTTCCATAAACTTGACCCAACTGACATGAAACCCTTTTCTTTCTTAGGAAAATGCCTACCAAGTAAGTCAAGTGGACCAATGGTATATATATTTGGGTTCGTGGCCCTGAGGGAATCAAGGGCTTCTCCATCCAAGTCTTGGAATGTGTTAATGATGATTGAAGATGATCTCAAACAATTTCGTGCCTCAGAACCCAAGAAGTCAAACATAATATCATCCAAAGTAGTGACTCTAATAAAGCTTGGAATGTCTTTGAGTCTAATATTTTTCATTCCAGATATCCAATCTAAACTTTTATCCAAGGTGCCATCAATCTCGAAGTTTTCATCTAAAATTGATAAAACAAAAATTATATTAAATTATGTAAGATAAATTCAACATTTATGTACATAATGATAAAATTTTCATATAATATTAGATAAGTATAATTTGATTTGAGAAAAATGGTCAAAGGAATTACTTAACAATATAGTGATAAGTAAAAATTAAAAGAAATATACCTTTTAACAAATTGTATATTTATGCAGCATTTTCATAGAATGAGAATTCAATATTTGTTGATATGATAACCTTGACTACCCATATGGATATCCACATTAACTAATAGAGCTAGACTCAGAGGTTTTTATCACACTAGATAAAGAGACCTAATTATGTGGCATTTTTTTTGTCACATGACATCTTGTGTTGATTTTATATCGTCCTTAAATTATATGACGAAAATTGTTGAATAGTAATAAAAAAAGTATATATTTAGATTAGTGATACGTACTATTTAAGTTAATCTATAATTATTCTTTTAAATCTATTTCGTCAATATATTTTAAAATATTAAATAAGTAAATATAGAATATATTGTTAATGTGGGGTTTTTTTTCTTTAATGTGTGGAATGTTCATAATTAATGTGAATACTCTCATATTTACCTTAATTATTTAGTTAAGAGAGACAATTTGTTAACAAAAGTTTGTAAACTATATATGATATATTTTTATTATAATTCATTATACTTTTAATAGTTGGGAACTATTCCATTTAATTTTGATTGAAAAGAAAATTAGTTTTGTAGATAATTGTATCGTTAGTTAGTGGATAACATTATAAAACAATCAAACCAGAAAGTAATAAAAATAAATAATTTTTATAATTAATATGATATAATATGTGATAGAATTCAGGTGAAGTTTTAAATTGAATAAAAATAATAAAATTAAATAATATATAAATAAAACTGATCACAAATTATCACTTAAAATTTTAAATTTAATATAATATTATATGCTCTTATATTTTTATTTGTCTCCCTTAATTAAATTCAATAATAATATTAACTCCATGAAAAAAACTGCTAACAATACGAATAGATTATAAAAAAAAAAAAAAAAAAAAAAAAAAAAAAAAAAAAAAACCTCTCTTTTACGATATCCTAAACCATAAATACCCCAGTTCTCCACCTCTATCACCGCCCTCCACTTTCTCCCCCACCAAACAATATCCCCGTTCACCGATGACTACATTTTGCAACACCAACCCTCCCTTGACTCTATCCGTTTCTACTTCTCCAACCCCTTCTGCCCCCTGCCGCTCCTCTTCCCACCTCCACGGTCTCCGCTTCCGCGACAACCTTGACTATGAATTTGAGGTTGCTTTGAATGTTTGAGTTTCCGAGGTGCAGTATTGTGTTCGGTTAGTGGATGCTTTGGGTGTTTGAGTTTCTAAGGTAGTGTTTTGACGAAGAGAAAGAGAAGCGGCATTGGTATTTGTTGATCTAGAAGTGTCACTACCGTAGAAAAGGCTTTTTACATCGGTTAAAATGGGCTTTCTACGTCGGTTAAAGCTGGCGACATAGATACGGGAGTCATAGAAAGTAAGGCTTTCTACGTCGGATCCTAATAACCGACGTAGAAAGTAAGACTTTCTACGCTCGGCTAATAGGAACCGACGTAAAAGCCTTAGTTTCTTTGAGCTATTATGATCGGCCAAACTGGTTATGATCGGTCATAGAGCTATTATGATCGATCATAACTCGGTTCTGATCGGTCATAGAAAGACTTTCTACGCTCTGCTAGTCTCGGGAACCGACGTAGAAAGTCTTATGTTGTATGAGCTATCCTGATCGGTCATAACCTGGTTTTGATCGGCCATGAAGCTAATCTGATCGATCATAACAGATCTGACTGTCATAATACTTTCTATGTCTGGTTAACACTTATAACCGACATAGAAAGTCTTACTTTCTATGTCGGTTAAAATTATAACCGACATAGAAAGTCTTACTTTCTAACTTTCTATAACCCCAAGATGTATACTCTGCTAACAAGAATCGTGATTGTATGTGTTATCAATGTCTGCTATGCCTATAACCGACATAAAATGTTACACTTTCTACGCTCTGCTATGCCATTAACCGACGTAGAAGTACTTGCTACGCTCTGGTAATGACATAACCGACGTAGAAAGTGTTATATTTTTTTAAAATACCCGCATTTTATTTACGATGTCTGCCTTTCTTCGAAAGTAGACTCGCCTATTCATCACAGCTTCTGCACAAATAACCACAGATCCAAGCATGTACGATATGCACAGCTCATATATAAATTTGCTACGTATATATATCCAAGATGACAGTATTCTAGCCAGTAGCATGATATGTACATATGAAACACATTGAAATGAATATATGTACGCATAGATCCAGCCTGCATAGCTTCATTTACTTAAACGAATGTAAATTTCCTAACTTAAATCAATTCTATCTAAATTGTTACAAGTTAAATTTCCTATGAAGATTGAATGCTTAAAAGGAAAGAAGCCCACCGCTTCTCGATATCGTCTAAGACTTCAATCTTCATTGGAGATGAGTCTCGTAAATTCCTACATATTGAAACATTTCAAATTTAGAAATCATTTACATAATTGGCATATTTGACTTAATTATAGTATATTTACCTCCCTCCACGTGTCAAGAATATTTTTGACTACAATGGTGTGCATGTGCTTCATCACATAAAACCCGCACTCATGGCTTCCCTATGGCGTGGACACTACAAGTTAAATACATGTCGATTAACTTTAAATGACAAATTGAACAACAAGAAGAGGTGTTTGGTCACCTTTGGTGCAATATACGTCAACTTCTTTCTAGCATGAGATGGAAGACCTTGCAACCTTAGGAGAGCTTCCAAAGCTCTACAAAAGGACAAATAATTTTGGTGTAAGTAGTGCACATATGATACAACAATTAAAAACAACCAAACTTACGCGTCTATGTGCTTTCTAATATCCAAATCATTTGGTTTCTTGTGTAATGAACACAAGAGAATCACAAGAAATTGGCGAGGAACAATTATTATGAGCTGCCAATGACCCCCGCACGTTGCAATAATATTAGTAAAATTTCAGCTTTACATAAATGTGCATTAATTTACAAGATGTATACTTACTCGATGCAAGTAAGGTGCTAAGTAGACTTCTTTGCCCCCATTTTGAAATGCCTCTATTAAGTACGTTTGCACCTCTTCAGCCTTTATTCCCAACGGACCGAATGGCAACAGTGGTCAACAAATCCATAGAGATAGCGAATCTTCCTCTCAACACACAAACGATGTAAATACCTTCAACATTGAAAATAAATAAGGTTATAAAATAATGTACCAGTGAGTATATAAAAAATATGTAAATATACTTACAATTCCCAAAGCCGCAACACCGATACACATAACATATCAAGCACTCAATGAGAAGATCAAAAATATCCCTTTGGAGTAAGAAAAAGGGATCGTCTTGGTCCCGCATACGACTTCGGGTGGCATATCTAACCGTATGGGAGTGGTCCCGATAGTCGCCGCCAGGTGCACCGAGTCGCTGTAAAGCGGATGGTGGTGGTGGTGATTCATGCACAACTTCCTTTGCTTTTTCAACCTCTTCCTATACAAGTACCAAAAATCAATAACATTAATATACATCAACCTATCAAAAAATAATAAGTACTATCGTTCAATGCATAAATCAACCCGTGCATGTGTTGGGATGGGTCTTGTTAATGAAACCGGCCATAAGATAAAATGGCCAGGTGCCTGTCCCACTCGTTTGAACCTCTTCAGTGGGAATAGGGATTGGGGCAGCAAGATCCCGACATCTACAACCACCACTCGATCATATCATCTCCAATACTCGGTGGTGGATGGTTGACCCCAATGCATACATTTTCCCTAAGGTAAACAAAGGATAAAATATCTTAGACTATATAATGTGTAACACTGTACCAAATACATGTCAAAGATATAATACGTACCGTATGCCACCAAATGCTCGGGAGGACCCGCAACATACAACCGACAGCCAGCAGTTGTCGGTAGGAGCAACCTCTGCCCCTCTATCGGAGCATCACAACTCTCCTTTGTGCCGACATGAATCGGGGATGCCGCTCGTGCGGGGACGTAAGGTCGAGATGACAAAGATGCCAACTCGCTCGCATTGAGCTCAATAACTCCGCCTTCAAGTCGAGTACACCTCATCTCGAATCTCCTTCCTAATTTGTTGTTTGAGGGACTCAAACTCTTGCTCATTCAAACTGCCTCAAAGAAGGAGTTGCCACGGTGGGGCACCAAAGTACTGTCTCGATGCCCACCCCTCGTCCAAGCACCACGAACACGTCCGGGATGCTCTGGGGTACCAATGACCACCGCCAATATATCCCGACGGCCATGTGGGTGGAATGATCCCCGAGTGCTCGCTTCAACCAACTCATCCTACAACACAAACGAATGATTTTTTAGCAAATACAAATGCCTATTGTAGTATAACATATATAATTAGTTTAGGATATGCTACTTACAATACGTTGAGCAACAACATTAGTTTGCTCGGATAAGTAATTCCTCGATGAGTTCTCGACAAGCTCTCTTCCATTTATCATGGCGTGAAGGGCGAGTGACGTAACTCACAACGGAGTCATCCGAAGGTAGACTTGAAGAAGTCTCCTTCATCATCTTCTCCTCCAATTTCTCATAACCCCCACGAGACAACCTCGTGGGGGTGGATATTCTTCCTCCGAATATCCCGTGCCTTCCGCCTCTTGGCTCTGTTGCATTCCATGTTAAATACCAAATTTAAAACCTCTATTTAAAAAAAATTACTGCAAACAAATGACAAATGTGCTAACCCGAAACCTAGGGTCTAATCGCCGAGTCCGAAATGCCCGCCATGTCTCCTCATCCAAAAACCGATACTCGGTCACATGGGTTCTTGTTGCTCAATGCCCCATATATGTATCGACCGGTCGATCACTCTTAAAACCTCTCCGACTGCTCCCCAAGCATATGAGATCCACTTTGTCCTCAACAAAGTGGTGTTAGGGACATCATATGTGACCTACACAATAAAAATAACATGAAGTTCCCAAAAAAGTTAAATATATATACATGTTAAATGCTCAAGTAAGAGTAGGTACCAGGATACTCGCCAAATCTGGTTCTTCAGTGTCTCCGGAACATGGTCCCAATCCTCAATAAGAATACTAACCTTGCTTCTCCCAAGCAAGGCCACATAGCTAGTGAATCTAGCACCGTGCTCTCCAGTGGCTCTACCAGCTTGCATGTCAAACTCGGATAGGCAATTTCTGATCGGAGTCGCGATCGATATTCAACTCCCTCAACCGTGTAGCACGCCTACCCTTTTTCCCGGTAGACGGCCGACTCGATCACCACCTTGTGTAGGAGGGGGACTGTGTAGGAGGAGGGGTACCGGATGAATCGCCATATCTCGTGTTCAAAGAAAAAATAATAGTTATTAGTTCTTTGAACATGTCCAAACGAGCATTGACACCATCTTTTGTCTAAACTACTTACAATACATCTCTAAATTAGCTAAAGGCACCCGTGATGTTTCCCTCTCTGACAAGCATTATTACTTACTAGATTCAATACCGTAAACCTACATTGGCTACGTAGGTAGCTAAAAGCACGAAATCTTACCTCTTGAAGACCTACAGAGGTGGCAGGTGGCGTGACGTGCGTAGCTGGGTGGGGAGAAACGTATCCCGTGCGACGGCAACAGAGCAGCGCAGGCGGCACGAAGCGTTGGCAGGTGGCGTGACGAGCAAATGTGGGTGCGAGAAACGTATACAAGCGAACGGGGAGCTCGGTATGGGTGAACCGATGAAAGGAAATGGAGCGTAGGGAGAAACGTACGTGGGAGCTCCGCTATGGGCGGGAGGAGCGAGAAGATACTATGTCGGCTGCCCTAACACCCATCATCAAAGACACTTTCTACGTCGGGTAACATTTAACCGACGTAGAAAGTTCACTTTCTACGTCGGGTAACATTTAACCGACGTAGAAAGTTAACTTTCTACGTCGGTTAAAATTTACCCGACGTAGAAAGTGAACTTTCTATGTCTGGTAAATTTTAACCGACGTAGAAAGTTAACTTTCTATGTCGGTTAGATTTTACCCGACATAGAAAGTGACCTTTCCACTTACTATGTCGGTTAAAACTTACCCGACATAGAAAGTTTATGATTTTATTACAAAATTGCCACCGCGCCACATACTATGACTGGGTGGATTACGACCGTGATAAAAACCTCGTCATAGAAAGCTATTTTTCCACTAGTGTGTTAGTGTTGTTATGCAGTGGATCAGTGGAATTGGCTGGATGAAGAAGTGTCCTCATGTTCTCAAGAGATGATTTTGATGATGATATAAATCAAGATTCAAGTTAACATCATTCAAGATGAATTGAATTAAAGACA